GTGTCCTATAAGAGTGTCCCACAAGAGTGTCCCACAAGAGTGTCCCAAAAGAGTTTCCTACAAGAGTGTCCTACAAGAGTGTCCGACAAGAGTGTCGTGTAAGAGTGTCCCACAAGAGTGTCCTGCAAGTGACCCACACAAGTGTTCTACAAGAGTGTCTCACAAGAGTGTCCTACAAGAGTGTCCCACAAGAGTGTCCCACAACAGTGTCCTAGGAAGAGTGTCCCACAAGAGTGTCCTAAGAGTGTCCCACAAGAGTGTCCTGCAAGTGACCCACAAGAGTGTCCCACAAGAGTGTCTCACAAGGTGTCCCACAAGAGTGTCCCACAAGAGTGTCCCACAAGAGTGTCCTAAAAGAGTGTCCCACAAGAGTGTCCCACAAGAGTGTCCTATAAGAGTGCCCCACAAGAGTGTCCTACAGGAGTATCCCACAAGAGTGTCCCACAAGAGTGTCCCACGAGAGTGTCCTAGAAGAGTGTCCCACAAGAGTGTCCCGCAGAGTGTCCCACAAGAGTGTCCTACAAGAGTGTCGTACAGGAGTGTCCTACAAGAGTGTCCCACAAGAGTGTCCCACAAGAGTGTCCTATAAGAGTGTCCCAGAAGAGTGTCCCGCAAGAGTGTCCCACAAGAGTTTCCGACAAGAGTGTCCTACAAGAGTGTCCTACAAGAGTGTCCTACAAGAGTGTCCCGCAAGAGTTTCCTACAAGAGTGGCCCACAAGAGTGTCCTGCAAGTGACCCACAAGAGTGTTCTACAAGAGTGTCTCACAAGAGTGTCCCACAAGAGTGTCCTACAAGAGTGTCCCACAAAAGTGTCCCACAAGAGTGTCCCACAAGAGTGTCCCACAAGAGTGTCCTATAAGAGTGTCCCACAAGAGTGTCCTACAAGAGTGTCCCACAAGAGTTTCCTACAAGAGTGGCCAGAGTGTCCTACAGAGTGTCCCGCAAGAGTGTCCTACAAGAGTGTCCTTTGGACATATTAGTTTTTCGATCGTGTTTGCATTCGGGTTCGTGGGTTCCATCTTGTTTATTTTAAATTATGTATAATATAGTATTATATTATATATTATATATATGTTCTATATAATATATTTTTCTTTCTATAATAAAAGACATGTATCAACATAAAGAAACTTTAAAATAGTTATCATGGAAAAATAGAGAAAGAAAACAACAACCACGTATGCACGAACGCAATTGTTTACATGTAGTAAACATTTTGAGTTGTGGTAGTTGATAGTGCTTGGCAATTTTGCAATGTTGTAATTTTTTCAACTTTTACAACTTTAACAACCTTCGCAACTTCTACCGCTTTGAGAGTTTTGTATGATATCATTGACAACCTTTACAACTTTGACCACTTTCACAACTTTTACAACTTCAAAACTTTCTACAATGTTGACGGCTGAAATCTGCAACCTTCAAAACTTGCGCAACCAAGTTGAAGTATTAAGTTGAAATACAATGTCAAAGTTGAAAACATATTCAAGTTTCTAATCTGAAAAGTTGTCAAAGTCGTAGAAGTAGTAAAAGTTGTCAAGGTTGTATATGTTCAAGATTTAAGAAATTAAACAAGTTGTCAACATAGTGGAAGTTAACAAAGTTGTAAAGGTTGAAGAAGTTGTGGTGGTTGTCAAGAGTGTCAAACTCGTTCCAGGTTGTAAAAGTTGCAGAAGTAGTAAAAGTTGTAGAAGTAATAAAAGTTGCCAGGTTTGTGGATGTTAAAATTTTCAAGTTATAGTAAAAAAGCCTAACACATAGTAAAAAGCTCTCAATTAACATTGTAGAAGTTGCAAATGTTGACAAAGTTGTAAAAGCTGTCCAGAGTGCCCGAAACTTTCCAGGTTGTATAGGTTGTAAAAGTTGTAGAAATTGCAACAGTCGTAAAAGTTGCTGTGTTTGTATTTGTTTGACATGAGAAGTCGTAGTAAAGAGCTCTCACTCAACATTATTGAAGTTGTCAAAGTTGTCAACATCGTAAAAGTTAGAGTAACAAAGTTGTAAAAGTTGAAGAAGTTGTGGTGGTTGTCAAGAGTGTCAAACTCGTTCCAGGTTGTGAGTTGTAGAAGTATTAAACGTTGTAAAACTTGCCAAGTTTGTGGATGTTAGAGATTTCAAGTTGTAGTAAAAGCTCTCAACCAAGATTGTAGAAGTTGTCAAAGTTGTAAATGTTGAGGAAGTAGAGGAAGTAGAAAGGTAGATCATAGAGGTGACTGTTACCATATATATATATATATCAGTTTAGCATTTTCAACCTGCCAAGAAAAGAGAGCAAACACTCTAACACTTCGTCAAACTTTGAGTTCCTGCACTAGCAGCTCAAGATCACCCTGTCACTTTGGATCATTGAGGAGGCGTGAATAAGTGTGTGAGTCACAGTTACTCAGTTAGACCAATCTTGAATGAATTCGTTTGACGAGCATTAGGAGAGGGTGAACGAAAGGTCGCTAGATGTCGCTAGTATATTGCCAGTAGGTAAGCAGCGTGCTTGTCTATACTTCAGTGACAAGATTGATCAAAGTATATATGTCAGGAACCTCTTCACTTTCACTTGGATTGAAGCTGAATGCGCCTAGTAAGATGTGTAAAATGCAAAAGGACAATCCAGCCCCCAAAGGAGCCTGCGATACAGGTGACACTGCTGTATGCGGGCAAGTCCCGGGGCAAAGACCAAGTTGTTTTTTTTCACCAGCGCACGTCCAAGTTTCTTGAGTCAAGTGATTGCGCTGGGGCGTGTATGTTGAGGCCTGGAGTCATCTATTGATAGTGGGCTATACATATATGTGTGCTGCTGATTTCACTGGGCATCATGACTTTGCATCTCTTGAAAGTGGCTGCGCATACCACGCGCAGGCCGATTACAATGGCATATGAATCACAGAACAGTTTGCAAGCAACCAAGACGTTGACATGATTCTTTGTTCACTTGGCTTAGCTTCTATGCCTCTGTTGGCACTCGCGACCCCTCGTTGGAGGTGAGATACGGGTGACACACGCATCAACTCCTCAATGCTAGCCAAATCTTGCGCGGAATGAGAAAAGATATATGTAACGCATGTATCTGTGGTTTGTCAGCTGAAAGCATGAGTTGCTTCTGCAGCGGAAACGCTTCAGAACCAAATGCAAATGTTGAGTATGTGGTGCACCCCACATACAGGTACTGCATCACCAGGTCCAACTCTACAAAGGGAGGGGGCGTCACAACATATTTTTTCTAATGCATAAGTTTCCTTGTTCCCTCCACCGGTTTTGGGATATGTAGGGGGGGTCAAGACCCGAATTGTATGCGCAGGGGGGCGTATTCACCTATGCACATCTACATTTCTTGCGCATTTGCTGCCATTGTGTGAACACGGGGGCAGGGCCAACAAAAATCTTGCAAAATGTATGAAACAGAGCAAAGCAGGAAACTGGTCAAGAACCCAGGCCAAATGTATGCATACGATGGGGTGCAATGCTCCAATAGCGGCAGCCACGGCCAAGAATTACACGTATTGTGGAGAGGCTACGGGTTTGTGGGGTGTGTGGGATTTTGAAATCTAGTGGTGTCTTTTGTGTGTTGGCCCCAACCGCTACTTGGGCACCCCCTGTTCACATACCATTTCAGAGAAAATGATCTTCTAGATGTATCCCTTCATTTTCCAAAACTTTGAGATGGACAAAGCACACTACACACCCCCAAAGATGGAACATCATCGGCAACAAAGGGCTGCGACTCCCCCATTCCAAGCGTATTGCCCCAGATAGCTGCAGGCCATAGGCGTTCCAACTTCTCAATGGTGTGACTCTGGATCGGCATTTTCAGTTTGCGGGTGCTGCTGCCGTGTTGATGCTGGTGCAGGTGCTGCTGTCGCGCTGGTGCTACTGCTGTGCTGGTGCTGGCGCCAGGGATGACATCGTCTCATGCCCACCAGGACAGCATGTCATGCCAGGGATGACGTCATGTCGTGCCCAGAATGACAGCACGCCACGCCAGGGGTGACATGATGCCATGCCCAGAATGCCATCATGTCATGCCAGGGCTGACATCATGTCATGCCAGGCATGCCGTCATATTGCGCGTAACACCGTGTTGTGCAGCAATGATCATCATGTCGTGTGGGCAGCCTTGGCTGGTCCTCGCCGATCTTGCAGTTTTAGAGTTTTACGTCCGTGTTGGGCAAAGCGGGCGCATTCAGCTGATAGATTTTGTGCATATTGGTGGACTGGTCTGATGTTTTCTGTTGCGGTGACAGCCGTCCGTGGCGTGTCATTTAAACTATACGGCCGCTATCTGGGGTGTATGCTAGTGTAATTTTGTCAAGGAATTGTATGCTGCAAGGGGGCTGGCATGCAAGGTGGTGGTTAAACTGTAACACGAGCAGATCATTCAAATCATCTAGTAGTGGTCGCCCAGTTGGACACTACAAAATTACCAAGGAATTGAGACAGTTCAAACACAGACAACATCAAACAATATTAAACAAATGCAACACAACAACACGCGCATGCGCTTTTAGATCACGCGACGACAATCAAACATATCTTTGCCTTGCGTTCCGGCGTTGATTCAAACCCCCTGAAAGCATTGACGTGTTCGAGACTAGCGACATTGAAGAGATCCTCATGCAAACAACCTGATAAACTGCTCGGCTCAGGCTCATCACAACAAGCACCCCTAAATCCAAGCAACAATGATACGACACAACTGGCACTTGTTGAAGAAATAGTACATAAGGATACATAAGATTAAATAACAGAACATATTGCGAACAAAAAACACCCAAGCAACATGGCGACAAGTACAGGCTCTTGACAACAGCGAATCAATCTGAAACATGGTGCGGGGAGCCTATCGCCTATAAGAACAAAAACAAGCACCACTACTCACTGCTACAGGTGAGAGAGCTTTCAAATGCACAAAAAATATCGACGATTGGACAAGCTGCCCAGCAATAACCGAATAAGGGGTCCATGTACTGGTCAACCTTGATCCATGCATGGTTGCTTTCAGCTGCATGGACATACTGGGCTTGAGAGGAATTGATGACGACAATCTTTGTTGATTGTCCACCAGGGAAGAACTATTGAAATCGCAGCAAGTCATGCTGCTCCAGCCGTGTGCCAAATATTCGGAAAACAACAGAGCAAACCTTCAGGACGCCTCACTTTGCCCTCTTAGCCTACTTATTGGTGACAGAAGAACTACTTTGGAATCAGCGAATAAGGCGACCTGGACAATTCGACTTCTTTGTCCAGCGATCATACAACGCACCAAACAGAATCTAGGCACAGCTTCAAAGCCCGGGGAGTCTCAGTGGAGGACTGTACTGTCTAAGCCTAAGCCTGGGCCAAAGGAAGCCAATTGTTTCTCCCACTAAAGCCACCACAAATAGTACGCATCAAACACCAACACAAATAAAATTTAGCATGCGAACTGCCTGGCGACAACAAAGAGCGCTGTGGCTGTGACCAACCAAGCTTCTTCATCTGTTAACTGGATGTGGCCAAGGCCTTCTCGTTGCCTTCCTTCAACACATGCGAGACTGAACGACCAGTCAAAGCTAACCTATGTCAACCTCTCGTAAGCTGAACTGCCCTATCTCTAGCGTTCTTAAGCTCCTCGGAACTCAACAATAGGACCTTCAACTGGTAGGCGTTGCACATCTTCCTGACGATGAGGGCTGCGTGTTGAAACTCCAGCACCCAAGCGTACCCAAGCCGCTGCCTGAGCTCGGCATTTTCCGCCAGAAGCTCGTAGCAAAGCCCCGGAATGTGGCTGTCACCTCAGGAATTGGTCTTGTCTCCGACCCCGCGGACGTATCAGGCCACACCTTTCATTTTGAAATTTAATTTTGGCAAAAACAAGTCGCTTGGATTATCTTGTGAAGTTGTGGCGATGTTTGGAGACAAAAACAAAATTTTGCATATTCAAGCCATTTTTGCCTAAGCATGCCTAAGCCAGCCATTCTCGGGGCGAACGGCGAACAGCCACAGCTGAGCGTGGGTGTAGATGGTCGGATTTCATGCCAGATTGAAGGAAGTGGACAACTGAACATGATGTATAAGCGTGCTGGCGAAAAGAATCGTTAACATGGGTAACACTGGCTTGAATATTTGGTAAGAGAGTGGTGGCCTGAGCCATTATGACGTGAGTACCTTTTATGATACGTTGGCAGGACAAAATGATCTGCTTTTCAGTGTGCAGTAGCAGTGTATGTACACTCTACCGCCAGTCGAAACATACCAAACCAATGGAAACTCTTGCAGGACTTGAATTTGCAACTGCAACCCAGGAAAGCTAGCTAGCTCTGAAGAGTTGTGAAGTCGTGATTGATGCTCTTTTGTCCTTTGCATGGAGGTCTCTAAACAATTCCAGATGCTGGACGCAGAAAAAAACATGAGAAGGCAGTTGCAAGAAGGAAGAACCAAGTGGGTTGCTAGAAACATGTCTTAGTGACGTGAAGATTTGCAGTGTATTTTCTTTTATGTGTGGGGATGTGTGGCGGGTGGCGGGCCAGGGCCAAGCAACTTCAATATCGAAATCGTCTCAGTGTTTGGCGGGTTTGGAAACAATTGGCTTCAACAAATTGAGAGCAGCCAGGAAGCGCAGTGAAAAAAATTAAAGGGCCTGATAACCCCACATATGAATCTTTACGAAGTTTCTAAAGCACAAAGCAGTCAGAGTCTCAATAGCTTCTACAACATGGCCTTGT